CAAGTGGGATTTGAGATCCTGCAGCCCTTTTGATGCGTTCTGAGCATGGAAGCTGGGCATCGGAGGCGAGCAGCGCAGGAAGCAGCTCCCAGCTACACATGAGCATGTGACAGCTCTGAAATGTTCAAGTTCCTCTGCCCACTACCCACATTACTCAGCTGTCAAAGGAAAGGCCTCAGATTTATGATGTGAAAATTACATTTTAACGAGGTGTCATATGTGTTTAAAGTCCTTATTCATCACCATACTGCAACATCTTTTACCCAAGACACAAATGCATTTAATTAGCATATTATAAGGACAGACTGTTCACCTTACCTGCATTGTGAAACTGCTTCAGGAAGAAAAAACACCAAACAACCCAAACATTCTGACTGAATAAAATACTTGCAATCACATCTCAAGAGAGCATCCCACAATACTTGAAAAAATGTGGAAGATAGAAGTTTGACATGCATGCTCTGGGGTTCTTAAAATATCACAGATATCCATGCAATTTCTGTATCACATTTGATTACCAGAATGGCTGGTCACAGTGTTAATATGAAACATGCAGAAGCCACTGAAGCACATTTAGGCTGTATTAGAAGTTCCTACAGATCATATCAGCATCTTCCTTATGTACTGAGCATATTTATTTATTAACTTCACACATCTATGGAGCAGCCCATATGGTAATGCTCGGGTCTCCTGGACATAATTTAAATTACCTTCTTGAAAGCAGGCGATCTGTGTGTCCCATGTCACTGGGAATGGCTGCTGGGACACCCATGGCCAAAATAAGTACAAAGGGATCTTTAACTTGTTCAAGTTCTTCCTTGGACTTCTCTGCTATGGGACATGCTCCAGTCCCCACTTAAGCACCCAAATGCTCAGTCAGCATATCCTGAGCCCTGGCAAGAGTTGCCGGCACCAGGGCACCTCATACATTTAGAAGACAGAACTTGTGGTCTCTGAGATGGCCAGGAACCCCTGGCTGGAGTCCAGGCAGGAGCTGTGCCTGCTCAGGGAGGTGCTAAGGCACAGAACCAGGAGATGTGGGTATGCATGCAGCACAGCACCGGGAAGCAGGATGGGAGCACTTCACCTTTTTGGAGAGGAAAGTTGGTTCATCTTGAGTTAATTTGCACAGAACGTAACACAAGTGAGTAGTGATTTCAACAGGTAACTCTAATGAATAGCAACTGATTAGGTTGCAGAAAATTTTCATCTTGTCACTACAGCCTTCTGTTTTCCTCTCTGCATATGTCTGGTAGGACACATAAAAAAAATAATCTGAATACTGTTCTGGGTTTAACTTGTTGAAGAATGAGAAGAGATGCAGAGCTACCCTTACTAACACTTCAAATTCACAAACACAATAGAAGCTACAAAGAAATAACCCAAAACTTCAGGAGCATTTATGAAGAAGCATCCTCCAAAAAGCTCATTTTAAGGCCAAACAGCTCAAAGAAAATACACTTCCAAAGGCTTTTGGAATCTTCAAGTTCACTTCTTGAGGGCAGACATTGATGATAGATTTCTTGGGACTTGCAGGCACTGAGGAGTGCTTGCTTTCAAAACCACTTTTGGGATAAATGGAAACAATCCCAGACAAAAGAGGGGGGGTGGAAAAAAGAGCAGGGTAAAATGTTAAAATGCAGCTTTTCTCATTTCTGACAATAAGGAACAGTTGGGTTTAATTCCATCAAGAACCTTGAATTGCTTCAAGATCAGCTAAAATCAGCTTTTAGCACTTCAAAATATTTTGTTTTCTGTGGTAACTTCAACTGCTGCAGAAGTTGAGCACAGGAACTCCAGGTTTTGACATTCACTCTCTCCAAGGAGTAAAAGCTCATTTTTTTAAAACAGTAGGTGAGAGAGGCCCTGCAACAGTGAAGATCTCAAATATGCTCCAAACCTACATGCACAAATCTTTAATTAAAAATCACAGAAAATGCTTCCACATTGTGAACAGCAAGAAGATGCGAGCCCCGCCTTTCCTATAAATTAAGAAACTCCTGCCAACACCCAGTTTCTCTGAACAGTTTGTGAAAAGACTGGAAATGCTTGATTCTAGGTGAACTGCAGTCTCCAGAACCCGTATTTTATTTTAGATATCCCTGAAATGTATGATGCAAGAGATTTCTAATTGGTTACTGGCTATTTAAATAGTCAAATATTTCACTTTTCTTGTTATGACCAATTTTTGCTTTTAAGACCTCTTCTAAAACTTCACCCTTAATTGTTTTTTAACAACCCATATGTTCAACCCATCAATTTTACAGTCCTTCTTTTATTTTCTAATTAAGCTGATATTGTTTACAAATTTTGCTACTCAAATTGTAACACCATGGAAAATGTCTGCACTGAACATGCCTCTAATACAAAGAAACAGTGACGATATTTGAAGAGAAGAGAGACACACATATTTACAGTCCACTCCATTAAAAAAAAAAAAAAGAAAAAAAATCTAAACAAAACAAAATAAAAATATCCTGGTTCTTCACTGCTTTCCCAGCATTTTATCACCTTAAGTTCTTGCTCTTTGGTGGAGGAGCTGGGTTTAAGACAACTAGATATGTAGTGTTACGTAGTGTTAGTTAGTGCTATGTAAAGCAATGCAGCATGAAATTTGGTGCTAACCCAAAAAATGCGCTGCACTGAACTTGGAAGAGAAAGCATCACGCAGACCTGGTCTCCTGGCTCCTATCTGCAAAAAAGCCTGATATCAAGCAACTATTTGCTCACCTGTTCAACTTAAAATCAGTACTTCTGTTTCACTGATTCATCAAAAATTGTTCCCACTAATCAGGCTATGTGTGTAATGGAGCAGCAACTTCCCTAGTGAAATTTCTTTTCTTGTCTTTGTAATATCTTAGCCCATCCAAGTTTTCTCATCAAAAAATTCAGTGGCTGTCAGAGCAGACCTCTCAAAAGTCCTCTAAACTTGTGAAATAGTGAGGTAATGGAATTCTTATGCAGTTTTGCCAGAAAGGAAATTGTGACAATTTTCAGAGAAAAAAAACGCAGGTAAAATTCAACTTTTTATCCATATTACAAAGCTTTGTACAAAATTTGCACACAGGGAATGTCAGAGAAGGCTCACCAGATTCCCTGACACCAGATTAACTCTCTCATGCCCACCATTCAAAGCTAAGAGCTGCTTCAGCTTCCTGTCTGAGGCACTGAGGGATTTTAAATTCTCATCCAAACCAGAGTGATTGGCTTCAAACCAGAGTGACACAAAGATAAATCAAATTCTTGCACCTCACAGGCTTTCAGCCCCCTGCAAGGTTTTCATCTACTCTCCCATTTTACCATCTTACACTGTGAAAAAAGGAGAACAATTTCCTCTTTAATAGAATTTTTTCCTTATTTTAGTTTTTTCACTGATTAAAGCTTTTTTTTTTTTTTTTTTTTTTTTTTTTTTTTTTTTTTAAGATGCTATTACTGGCAATGGTCACTACATGAAAAAGTGCCAGCAAAGAGTCCATTATAATACCTGGAAATAATTCTCTAAAAAGGAAAGAAACTCTATGAAATGGAAGGGATGCAACTCATTTCCACTCCTTCGGGACAACCAATAGCTCACAAATTGCTCTGCTTCACTCCACCACCCAGAAAGTACATGCTTGTCATTTAGTTAGGAGAAGGAGAAGTATTACTTCATTTTTCACTCGTCTGAGATCTTGCAGAGGTCAACATCATTGAAAATATCTCTACTCCTTGACAATCATTCAGCTCTTGTTCATCTGCTTCTTTAAGATTATCTTCTCCCCTCCCTTATATTTTTGTAAAAAAATCACAATTTCACTGCCAGTTTACTACTTTTATTCCAGCCCTCCCCAGATTTTCATACCCACAATTTCTTTCAGCATCTCTTGATCCATTTTCATTTTATATGGGTAACAGGCTGCACACAGGAAAAGAAAATCTCATAAACACAAACCTTTTCACTTCTCTTTTGCAATCTAAAGCCTTGAATCCACTCACCCACTTTCAAGTTCCTTATTTACAAAAGAAATGTTTCAGAAAAAGCCATATTATGGATTGAATACTTTACTGTCCAAATTATATTAATTCTGCTTTTTTTTTTTTTTTTTTTAACTTTTTTAGCTTTTCAAAGTACACAGTCCACCACAGGAGCTACCTGATACTATGACTACATCACTTTAGTAACAACCATTTAAAACCACTGAGCAAATCCTCTTTGGAAATTCTTGCAACATCATACAAGCTTGACAACAGTGCAGGCTAAGCCTTGTTACTAGTAAAGTGGTAACTTTATAATTGCAAAATGATGATGGAGTTGATAAAGGTAAGGGAATATGCATAAAGTAACTACCAGCACAATTTCTAACAGGAAAAAAGGTGGAAAAGCTGGGCGCAGAGTCAGATGATCCTCTAAGATAAAGTATAGTAAGTCACAGTAAGTCATGAAATGCTTTAAAAAAGAAAGAGAAACTTTACAGAAAATAAAGCAAGATCTTAGAGGATTTTGTTTATTCTCTTCCTGACTCCAGACACACACTTGTACATGCTCACATCTTCAATTCGACTCAGCTTCTCTAGAAAGATAAAACTGCCCCAGCTTAATGAAATAAAGTAATTTAAACTGGCAGGCAGTTTTCCTCCAGCTGTTTGCAACAACAACATCTTCCATGCTTTTTTTTGTCAAGATTCCTGCAGAAGGGAAAATGAACTGATCATGTATGAAATTCGATTCAGGAGAAAAGACTGCTACCCCTGTGAATAAAAGCATAGGGATTTGGAAACTGTTTCAGGCTACTTATGTGTAGATACTCCTTCACCCACTTTATTTCAACTAATGCCCAAAAAAAAAAAAAATCTGCACATATTAATGTCTTAATAACCACTATAGGTCTGTGGTGGGGCTTTATTTGCAGAAACTCAGCCAGATCAGTAAGTGTACTACAATTTTACACAAAAAAAAAAAAAAAAAAAAAAAAAAAAAAGAAAAAGAAAAAATTTTTTTGGTTTGGTATTAAACGCCTTACCTGCTCTGCTGTCCAGGGGGCCAAAATCCAAGGAGTATTTTACAACGTGATAGTTGTTCCATACATACAGGAGGTTGTCCCGGGGATTATAATCCACAGCAGCTATGTACTGGTAGGAGTTTGGAAAGGGGACATCCACCATGCTATCCTTGCTTTGGTCAGTGTTATATATGTAGTCTATTTTATTCCCTGTGGCTTCATTGTCATCATCTTCGTACACAGACTTCACCACATATAAAATCCCACAGATCATGAAGGCATTAGAAGCTGACCTCTTGTCATAGGCAGTATCCCACGTCCCTTCGATCCTTAACGTGTAAGGGTTCAACTGGCTAATGACTATTTTGCCATTGTTTTGTTCTGTTGCATAGATTACCCAGAGCCCATTCTCATCCACGGCCAGGTCTATGTCGGACTTGCCTCCCCAGCGGTAGGGAGAGGTGTCGTGGTAGTTGGCGTTGGCTATGATTGCCTCCCCGCTCTTTATCCTGGTCCGCAAGTCAAACTTGACAATGTTCCTGGTCCTCTCCTTGTTGAAGAACAAAGCCCCGTCGTACACCACGAAGCCCGTGCCGTCCACCCGGTGCGGGAGCTTGTAGGTCGTGGTCGGCCTCCCGGCGATGAAGTCGTCCTTGGAGGAGTATTCCGTCAGCGTGTCTGTCCGGTACGGCGTCCAGGGCATGTAGTAGATCTTGTCAGAGGCCTGCAGAGGGTCCTTGCACCAGGCGCCCGACTGGTGGTCAGACTCGAATAAGTGTTCGCTCTGGTAAACTCCTTTCAGCAGTCCAGGGCAAAGAAAAACTGTTGTAGGGGAGAAGAATTTAACAGAAAAATGGAATTAATGATTGTTCAGGGGTGGCTGGCCCAAGCATCTCAACAGCTTCTAGTCCCAGAGTAGAGGACACTCATGATGAGAGGAAACCCAAGAGCAATGCCTTGTAGCTGAAGACTATAATTCCAGCCCATCATATATCTGGAACAAGATCTGCCCCACCAAACTGGGGTTTCCCCCCCCCCCTCCCCGCCTGTTCTATCAGCTGTGGCTCGTTTTCTTATTGCTTTTCAAATCTATTTTTACAGGTATACTTACTTGGACCACTCGCTTTTGTAAACTCTGAAATGAATATGTGCCCCCAAAGGATTTCTGGGTTTGCATTTCCAAATTATATTCTGCAGTGAATCTGTACCTACTAGGTGAAGGGCTAAATTCCGAGGGAATTGATCCACATATTTATTTGAACAGCCCACAGAAGAGTGGCCTAGAAATGGAAATAAGAGAAAGAAATTCCCATCCTTACAGCCCAAGTGATATTAAATATTTAAAGGATACCAATAGCAAAGCAGAGATGAATCCCTTAGCAACTCAGAAGAGCATTTAAAGCGAAGGGAGTGTTGGGGGGGAACACCCATCTGGAGTATAACTAGGAATGAGACTTTCCAAGCTGCTACAGGACACATGAAACATGCAGTCCACACAATTAAAAACGAATGACATATGGATGCTGAAAGGAAAAGACAAGGAAGAAAGGAAGAAAGGAAAGAAGGAAGGAAAAGAATAAAGTTTGCTGGAGAGGAACCCAATGTCTAGAGTTTAATCAGTTAAAAAATGTCCTGTTAAATATAGTAGTATTTCAAACTTAAAAACATATACCTTCTATTGTTACATGAGAGGAGCACAGAGGAGCAGTTTGACTAACTGGGATGCTTTGCTGCTCAGACTTCGGGGGGGTGGGGCAGGGTCCAGGGAACGCCCCAGACCTGGGAAGAGGCTCAGCCACTGCCCAGCTGGCCTCAGCCCCATGGGAACACCACCGCCCAGGGGCCAGCCAGCTGGATGGGGAGGCAAGAGGAGGGATGCTGCGGAGTAAATCTGGCCCTTGCCATCCCCATCAGCACCCTCCTGGCCTGGAGGTGCTGCACACGCTTCGGGGGGAGAATATTGGTTGGTTATTTGGAACGCCGATCTCCGCGATCCATGAGAGGCACGGTGACCGTGACGATGGGATGGGTGGCAGGGAGGCATGAAGAAGTATCCCACCACACACTTCCGGCAGCACGGGGCTGGCAAGATGGGATCCCACATTCACACTTCCTGCTCGGAGCATAATTGATTATTTTTTGTAAATTCAGAAATTGGTAATGTTGTCTGGAGAGCAAGACAGGAGGAAAATCAGATTTAATAACCAGTATAAAATGATATAGATCCATGGGAGTCTTAAGTAACCACGCGGAGCTGCTGAAAAAGGGGTGCCATTTCCAGGAGGCTTTTATGCCATAATTAGATATACTTATGCACATACATATGCATGCACAGCTTCCAAATTCTTTGGGGCAGGAAAATGAGATATCTAAGCCTTTGAATATAAATTTCATGAAAAAATAAAGGTGGCACTGGTAAAAACTTTTCAGCAAATATGAGTTATCTGGTGAAGTTGAGCAGCAGAGATACTAAATAAACTTTAACAAAACGGTAGTGAGAATTAATGACAAAGTATTTCAACTAAAACGTTAAACTGTTAAATAACTTAACCTATACATAAGTAATATATATATATATATATATATAATTTGAAAGGTATTTAATTACCTTTTTGTTCCACTTCTATTGTAGAGAGAGAGGTAAAGAGAGAAAGAAGAAAAGAGAATAGATTAATGGTACTGTATTGGCCAGGTACTTTTCTTTACCTCTTTCATAAGAAAAGGAAGATTTATTAATTTACTTTGGTATGTGAACATTTATATATATATATAAACCTTTCCTCTGATGTATGCACTGGATAATATGCAGACAAGCTGAACAAAATACAGATAAATTTTAACTTGAGAAAAATCTGTCAGAAGAAAAAAAAGCCCAACACTTGGGATGTAATGAGCCCTCTGGACTCTACCTTGTAGCAGCAACCTTTGACTAGTTTCATAGAGCAAAATGAAATATCCATTAAATGAAATATGACTGATACAGCTTTATGTATAGAATAAAAATTCCAGGGAGAAACTTTATATGACATACATCTTCATACGTTTTGCCAAAATCCTGTAGAATAGATATCCCTACCTAAAATAGGAGTACATTAACTTATGACGTGAAAAAAAAACTTAGGAGAGTCAAATGAAGCATGTCCATGGATGTTCGTAGAGTCCTATCCTTTGTCTTGGAGAAACACACTTTAGTAAGAGTTGGAAAAAAGCACTGGAAACACTGTAGCACTTATAAATACGATCCCAAAGATTCACAGTGTTAATGAGACAAAAATGTGTAAGCACTATTTTAAAAGCCCAACCCCAGAACTTGCTGGATATTTTAGTGTGAATTATTCACCATGCATTATAACACAGCTGAAGAGACTGTGTCCCTTTGGACAAAGCCCCTTTCAGGTGGAATACATAAATGAAGTGCACTTATTGATTCCTGAGTACTCAGCACTAGTTTCTATACCTAACAACCTCCTCCAAGAAAGTTTGGGGGCCCTCATCCAGAAGCCTCCTGTAGTTGTGGCACAGGCCCTGACTTCCAGCATGGCGGTGACCCAACAGCCTCTGCATCCCCAGCCCTGTGGTTTTCTGGTTCCATGGAGCCTCTTCACTGAAGGTGTAAGAGAAGACAGGCCCCATGAAATAACAGAGAGAGAAGTGAGAACTTGCCAGCAAACCACTATGGTTTTGACAGCTGAGAGATCCCTGTTCGGAGAAGCGAGACCGGAATGCGAAGATGTGCACAACATGTGCTTTGGTTTTGTTGCTCAGGGTTCACTCCAGCTCCTTTCAGACCAAGACACCTGCCAAGTGTCCTCTGGTGCTGGCATTGCAAAACTCTTTGCATTCAATAGTCTTGTTCATTTGGATGGGAAATTGCAGGCTCAGAGGAAGAACAATTTCAGGGTAGAGCTGCAAATGCTCTGGCTAGACATGTGGATCTACACGTCCCTGTCCAGAGAGGCATACAGCTGGAGCCAACTGCAGCTCCCATAATGAGTGCTTCCAAACTCCAACAGCATTTTTTACCTGGGCTTTGATTCAGGCTCCTTTCTACCTCATAACAGGATAAGGTTAAAGGCAAATGTTTTCAACATGTGGCTGTCAGGGCTCTAGGGACCAGAGACAATGCATTTGAGTGCAATCTGGTTTTGCAAGGGAAGGAGCCCGCAAGATTAAAAGGCTCCAGACACAGCAGTTGGAGAAACCCACACACCACTTGTTCTCCCCATCCTGGGCTGTGGCTGGTCACAGTTAAATAAGGTGTTCAGAAAAGCATTAAATGTCCCTTGCAAAAAGCAAGAAGGCAACATGACAGATCCCCAAATGTATGGCTTCACACTGATTCCCTTGGCTGATGGTATACAGTACGTCTGGCAGCATAGAAGGTAGTAATTTACATTTCCAAATGTGCAAAAGCTTTTGCAATGCACTCAAACAACAGTGTGATATTGTAAAGCAGGGAGAGAGAAGCTTCTAGAGGAGATAATACATTTGTGACCAGCTGATCTGAATGACCTGAAGCGTTGATTACCCTTATCCTGAATAGCTCGTATGTGTTATTAACACTCAGTGCCATATCCAGCTCTCTTAAAATTCCAAACACGGATGTGTTTTGGTGACCTTCTGAATGGTGCTTCCATTGTATGTGTCACAAACACCTATTTTCCCTCTGCTAATTTAAGACTTAATGCTTTTGAATTTCAATAATTACTCCGCTTACGTTGGGGTGCCATATTCTTCAGACAGGTTCCATGAGAAGCTAGGAGGATTTAGATTATTGAACAATATTAAAAGAAAGGGTCTAATTGGAGTCTGATTATCCCTTCAGTTACACAACATACCACTGCAAAACTGTCTTCATAAAGAACTGGTAAAATATTTTAAAATTTTGCCCAGTTACAGACAACTTTACAATCTTCGTGATGCCTGTACCAGTCTACAAAATTTAAGTACTGATGACAGCACAGGGTGCACCCTTACTTACCTACACAGATCTACAGAAAAGAACCCCCAGGCATACACAACTTTTATTCTTATAGTGAGGCCTTCCATTCCTGCTGTCACTGCATGGGTGGAGAACAAGGGTATTTCACCTTGATTCCCTACAATGGCTGCCAGTGCCATTGACTTCAACAGTGTCAGGAGCCAAAAGGAAATCAAGGACCACTTGCTGTGTCTGAGGGGAGTTACTAACAAGCCTTTCCACATACACTGGTTTTCTCATGATTCTTCAGATGTGAGGACAACACACAATCATGAGCCACTACAGCCTGTCCCCAAGCAGAATCCTACCACCCGTTCAGAGAAATCGTACAAAAGCATTAATTAATTGTTCTCAGTATTGCTGGGTTGAGACGCTGAAAACACACTTTGGCACAATTAACACTTGAACAACATTAGCTGCTCATTTCTTACTGCCACATTGAATTGCACTCAACTATTTAAGGCAAAAGTACACAGCGGTGGAGACTTATAGAGAGCTATCTCCCTGGCACTATTTCAAACCCACAGAACAGCAGCATAAAACTCCTGGAAAAAAATAAATGTGAGTAGGGGAATGTTAAATGGAAACTGCAAAAGTAGTGCAAAAATGTGTGCCCTGCACATTGCTAGTTGTTTGTTTAATTTTTCTTTTTTTAAGGCAGATGTTTAATAGTAGCATAAGTAACATCCACTCCCTGCCCCTGTCCTTCACAGAGTAGATTCATTTAATATACTCAGACTAATAATTAATACACTAAGCACTGAATGCATGGTTAATGACAAAACAGAAGGACTAAAAAACCCAGGTTTTTGAGGCTGACCTTAGAAGCACAAGCTGCAGC